AAACAGTCAGAGAGAGAAATGGAGAGACGCAGCAGAATGGATGTAGTGGGTTATGCAATGAACAGATGGAGGGGCGAATAGGGTTTACAGGGACAAATTTGAGGCTGTGAAAGGGAGAAATTAGCAACAGAAAATATTGTGAACTTGTACCACAGTTCGGGGTTGATCCACACTCGCATACACCCATCCATTAACGTAGTCTGAAAATTAAGCTTGCCCCCACCAGTGCTGCAGCATTATTAGTTAACTTTGTACCTCATGGACAATGGACAATCGAAGAGTTAAGTCAAGAGGCTCCAAGAAGACTGGTGGAAGTGGAGGAGATGACTAGATTGGGGGGAGTGACCATGAGAGGAATAGCAGTAGGAGAAGAAGAGTGGAGTGGAGAGTTGTAATCAAATAAAGGATACCTGTAAATGGCCAAGAAAGATTAGCTTGTTAAGGAGAAGAAAGATTTCTTTATGCGACAGGAGTGGTGTAATGATGCTCTGTTTATGTCGTTACAGCCCAGCATTATTCGTTGATAACACAAAATGATTGAATCAGTGTTGAGATAAAAGACAGAGTAACCGGGAGCTTTTATATCCCTAGAGGCTGCAAGTGTGTATGTTTCCTGTTTGACATTTCACAGGCAGACAGGAGGGAGTTTCATTCTGCAGTGAGATGTATACCTTTTGGAAAAGAAACAGAAAATGCGCCGCATAATTCGGGTGTCCCAGATCTTGGTGGCGGAGGAAGCCTGGAGGCTGTGGAGCTAGTGGTGGTCCCTGTGGGTCGGCTAACGCTTGTCTACACCAGCGCTCGCGCTAAAAAATGAAAATGTTTCACATTTGAAATATAGATTTAATTCCATTACACAGTGTCTTCCAGGACACCAGGGACACTTCTGTTGGAGTAATTTTTATGGAAATTTTAATGTATGAAATTAGGAGCTCCATGGAAAAAGCAAATGTCAGTAAGATTTACTCAGTTAGCAAGAAGAGTTTTATGTTTGCATGAGGCAGACAGGTTCCTGCCTTTTGGTCTAGACTGAAATATCTCAACAACTATTACTTTTTTTCTTTTCACTCTCCCTCAGAGTCATCAAATGCATCTTTGTTGACCAATGCGGAGAAGATCGCCACTATAACCACCACTCACACACCTCAGCAACAGGCTGCACCTGAGGCCAGGTAAGGGGCACACTGGGAAATTGAGTGTTTTGTACAGAACAAGTATAGTCATTTTAAAAAGGCAGTAGAACGTTGGGTTTTTCAGATGAAGTGTCAAAAGTAGTGCAGATTAAATTCCTCATTTAATGCCTAAAATGTGTTATGTCTCTGACTGATTGACCCTTAAACATTTCACACTGACTGCTCTCTTTCTGTCTCAGGCTCAACACCAAACCAAAACAGGAATCGTTTGAATTTAAAGCCCCGCAAGCCCCTCCTCCCCAACCCCCAACACAGCAAGTCTCACCTCAGGTAAGGAAGGACACTCCAATCATCCATTCACCTGTCGCTTCATTCATACATCCGTTCATCTCATGTTTCCATCGAGCACCCCAGCAATCTGCACTCCAATCTGCATACATCCATCCAGCTTGTACCAGCACCCAAACATCTATTCATCCTCCATCCCTTTGTGCATCAACCATTCCACCCACCCACCTTCCCAAGGACAAACAAAGTGCCTGTTTTTATTTTTCCCTTTACGTCTACCTGCTGCCGTTATCAGAGTCCATGCATTAAGGAAAGCCTGTCTGCTTTGCAAAGTAACCCCTCAGTCCACTGTGTTCGCTGCTGAATTAATCTGGCGGTGTGGAGATTGCTCTCACAGATAGCATTGATCCCTCAGCAGAGGAGATTAGGAGGGCGTGAAGACAGGAGCTGCTGTGGCTGTCTGCCTGTCCTTGTGGTGCCCCCCCACCCATCCCCACTCCCTCTCTGCCTGTATCCTTTCTCTTTGTCCATCCAGAGCCCAAGGCATCAATAATTCAGCATCCTTACACCTGAGCATATGCATGTACACACACATACACACACATACATTCAGAGGGTCTGGCACACCTATTAAAAAGGTGTGACTTTCCTGAAGGTGGCATTTGTCCCATGCTCCTGAAATAGAAGCCCACTTCAAAGGACAGACACACACTTCAAATCTGAATCACAAACCTTGATGCAAATGTGTCTTTCTCTCTCCCTCTCTTTCCGTGTGTGTGTATGTGTGTGTGTGTGTGTGTGGTCTGTTTTCATCAGGATGCTGAGTTCTACTCAGTGGACCTGGAGCGAGACAACAAAGGCTTTGGCTTCAGCCTGCGGGGAGGAAGAGAATACAACATGGACCTGTACGTGCTGAGGCTTGCTGAGGACGGAGCAGCTGTCCGCAACGGAAATATGAGGGTAAAGAAACAGTGTACTAACTGCATTCACACACCAAAAATCATCAAATGTTTCCAATTATTAGGCCCCATTTAGACAAATAGAAGATGCTTTGTTTTCTTTGCAACTTTCATATCCGAAGAGTTTGTTTTTTTTAAAGTGGCACTCCTGTTCTAGGAAGTAATACCCAGCCTCTGAAAACAGTTGTATAATATATTCTGTCCTGGAGGAGTTTTCTAAAGTTTGAAAAAATAACCCCTAATGATGTCTCTCACAAGTCTTCAACTTTGTGGAAGGGCAATACTAATTCTCTGTAGTATTTTTTAATATTGTTTTGATTTAGAAAATATTTAAGTCCCTTGAAAAGGAATGAAGTAAATGAAGAATAGTAGGATTCCAGTATGAATGAGCTGTGTGAGAGACGTGATTATACTCCCACATAAACTTTACACTAATCAAAATTATGTTATCGCACAATGTACCCCCAATTACTGCAAACTAAACTTTGCTGAATATAAACACGGTCGCCTACAGGCTAGGGCACATTGAGTGAGTGCAGTATCAAAACACAAGGCACACAAACATTGCAGAGTCATGGCGCATACCTGCTGGCAGAACATGTCCATTTTTTATTAATGAACGTGTCTCTACAAGTTGTAAAGTGCCATTCATACATGCTACAGAAGCTGTCATGAATCTGTTATATTTAACCTTTATTTTGATTAATTGCGTAAACCAGTAGCACGTCCCCGCAGGGTTAATGGATTCTCCCCTCTTTGCATGGGAGACATACGCAGCCTGTTCGCTGACTGTGTATGCATGTGAGAGCTATAAGGGAGTTTTTGATATCTGTTATTATGCTAGAGTTAGGAAGTGTGTAGGGTGTGCATGTATTTGTATGCACTTGTACATGCTTATATGAATACATACATGTATGTTTGTGCACCTTGTTAGCAGAGATATTAATAGTAGCAGCTCTGTGAGGCAGAGAGAGGTGTCAGTGAGAGATCCATATTCTGCCAGAGAGGTATTCCCTCGGCGCAGACAGCACTGACGGATAACCTGAGGCGTGGAGGCAAAGAATCGGGAAGCAAAAAGTGTTTCTTCTGGCTCCTGATTTCCTCAGTTTCCTCTCTCTGTGTCTCAGTTGCTGCTTTTCGATGCAATTTGCCCTCTCTGGAAACTGTTGATTTTGAAAAAAAAATGTTTCTACTGTGCGGTTTACAGATCAGAGTGTTCAGAGTTGAGAGTGATATGTAACTTCTGCTCAATCTGTCCTCCCTTTCCTTCTTTTCTGCTGTCATTGTGTCTCTTTGAACGTTCGTGCCTCTCATCTTTCCTCTTGTGTACTTTCTTTCCCCACTGTCACTTGTTTTCCGCATTCTGTCTTGCACTGCTGTCTCCTCTCCTTTTTCTGGTTTTTGCTATTTCTCCCTTTCCCCTCTGATTTACCCCGTTCTCCCTCTCTATCTTCACCTGTAACTCTGTCTCTCCTCTCTGCCTCCCACCTTTCCTTCCCGGTCTTCTTCCTTTCCACAGGTCGGCGATGAAATCCTTGAGATCAATGGCGAGAGCACCAAGGGCATGAAGCACGCGCGGGCCATTGAGCTCATCAAGAGTGGAGGCCGGAACGCCCATCTGGTGCTCAAGAGGGGTGATGGCTCTGTGCCTGAATATGGTGGGTCAATCTACGAAAACATTCCCTTCTCCCCCATCTTCACACCCTGAGCCTGGGGGACGCCCAGTGGACGATTGTGGGTCGAAGGGGAAATAACTGTATTGCCCTCCCAGGACCCTTCACCCATCCATGGGACAAACCCACCAGGGACAGGGAGGGGGTTGGTTTGTCTTGGGTGTCTTTCTGGTGGAGGTCACTCCTGGGCTTTGGGATTTTGAGGGGAGCAGGGGTGGAGGTGCTCCTGTGGGTGCTGTTACCCCCTCCTGCTGTCACCTGCTCTCTGTTTCCATGTCATCCAGCTGTCACTTTTCACCTTCTGGCCACTGAGCAAAAGCACTCTGCTGGGACTTTACAGAAAGGTGGTGGGTCTGATGTCAGTGCCACATGAAATCAGAAACTGTTTACAGGGTGGTTTGAATGACCAGAGTAGTAAAAATCAATGTTTCTTGTGGGTAAGAAGTAATATTGAGTGCTCCAAATCCTCATCTAGCGTTAAGAGGAAAAGAAAACTCATGCATCCCACGATAATGTCGGACATCTCGCAGCTTTGGTTAGGACGTGACACAAGCGTATTTATGATATTTATTGAAGGTGAATGTAAGCTACTGAACTCTTTGAGTGAGAACTGTATTGCGAAGAGAGAACATCTCACTATACTGTGCTTGACATTACTCACTAATCCATGGATTTTATTTGCACCCACTGTTAATGTCATTCAAAAGCTGTGACGATAGGAACTCCACCCATCCCCATTCAAAAAAAGAGTTGCTCCAATTATATAGACGTTTTGTACAGTGATTAAAAGAATAGAGGCAAGTATTTTTGTTCCATGTACAGAGCCGTGAGTCGAAGCCACATATTAATGGATAAAAGTCTATTGCTGCATGAACTTGTCTTTTTTTTTTTCTCCCTTCTGTTGTCTATTTTCCATAATATTTATGGAGCGTTTCTTGTTTTTATCGTATTGACCTGTTTTGATTGATAGTCACGAGTCATCATTAATGTTTTGGGGGGATTTTTGTTACTTTTTTTTAAAGTGGAGATTCATTTGCCTGCCTGAAAAGTTCATCAATGTAATTTTATTTGCGCTAAGAATGTGCCGTCTTAACCTGCACCTATATGACATCATGTGAACTTGTATATTTTGGATCATTGTTTGTACTTTTTTAGTTGGCACAACCTTTGACAGTCTTGCCAGTATTCCTTTTGATTTCTGTCAGCAATGTAAAACTGCTTCATACGCCGTTGTTGTGGGTGTGCAACTCTCACTGTCTTTATTTTTTGGGTTTGGGTTTCTGCTGCTTCTGTGTCCACATGTTTAGGTATGTGTGGGTTATTGTGTCTGAGTGCGTGTGCGCTTGGTTTGAGGACTTTTCTCTGTAACTGATGGTTTCCACTGAAGGGTGAGGGCAATTTCCTGGACTGTCTCTTTATTCTGAATGACTCAATGATCAAATAAACACTTTTTTTTTTTCATTGAAAATCAACACAATAATTCTCCTTTTCTTTCTTCAAGTTGGTTCCAAGCGATCTAAACCCTGTGCTTTTGTCTTTTTTTCTTTTTTTTTTTCTTCCCGTATTGCGCTGGGCTCTTGTCTTCCTTCAGGGATGGTCGCTTCCCATCTCACTGCATGTATGAGAAATGACAAGATGGGGGAGGCCTCTGTCCTCCAAAATCAGACCACGGTTTGTAACTGTCCTCCCCTGTCGTCTGGCTCTCCCTCCCACTTCCTGTCTTTCTTTTTCTTTGTCTCTCTTTTTCTCCATCTTGATCTGTGTGGTGTGGCCTCAACTCACCCATGCCAGTGCTCTAATCCATGCGTACAAATCCATTCATCCAAAATGCATTGCCAGTACTGCCGTAGCCGCTGTTATGGATACTTTATGCATACATCTGCGCCAGTTGCGTTTAACCTTTGAGCAACGAGTCTAAAGGTGAAATGAGTGTAGCTTAAAATTTTAATAGCTTAAAATTCACACTACTTTAGACCATCAGAGGACACCCTCTTTGTTATTAGTAGTTTTCTGCTGTAGTTTGTGCAGTTTGTAGTCTTTCCTTAAAATGCAGACCTGAAGACGTATTTAGAGTAGAACTGAGTAGAAAAACTGTAAGGATTAATCTTAAGAACCTGATAAGGAACTAAGCATTGGGGTGGCTGCTTATGTAGACGATTACTAGACTATCAGGGTGAATTTCCTAATAAATTCTCCATGTCTTGCCGCCTATACCGCACACATTGTTACAGCAATACAGCAATAGTTTTTGGATCTCATCTTGAGCATTTTATTTGCTTTAAACATTAAAAAAGTGTCTGGCATCATGGCAGTGCATGAAAGAGCATGGCTAATCAGTTCAATCAAGCAGCATCATCAACATGCAGCACGTTGGCACTGACTGTAACCAGCCTCCAGTCCAGTTGGCCGACCAGCGAAGTCCTCTTCTGCTTCAGAGAGATGACCCCAGCTAGACCTTTGTTGTTGGTAACAAGTCTCTTCAAGCAATGGCTGCCTTTGTGTCACTGCCTTTTATTGTCATGTGTAAGCTACACTACTGTTTCACCCATTGGATGTGCCATCGAGCCGTCTTTGCTGGCATTAACATCAGAATGGCTTCCATTGGAAATGTTCTAATCTTCATGTCTGAGTTATTTAGCATGATTAATGTGAAAGCAGATAGGAGCTTTTAGAGTCTAGATGCATGTTTGATACCCCTGCCCTCGTCTGTCACACTGTGTTGCAGACGGCAGCCCCGACAACAGCATCGCAGCCAACCCAGCCTCAGGGTTACAAAACGCTGCGGAAGTGAGCGCCATGCCCTCAACCAACGCGCCATTGGAGTCAAGCTACCCACCAGAACCCCAACAATCATCCCGGAGCAAGAAGGAGCCGACCCGCCACTCTACCGGCACCGGCAAGCACCATCATTCCAACCACCGCCACCGCTCTCCCAATAAGAGAAAACACAAGGGGAGAAAGTCCACAGGGACGGACAAGTCCAAGGATGGCAAGGGAAGTGACGGCCACCGTCACCATTCTAGCGGGCACCGCCGCCGCCGCCACCGTTCGCCTGACAAGGGGCACGGCCGGTCACGCAGTGCAGAAAACACCCTGGATGGCCATCACAGACAACACCGTCACGGCCGCTCACCTGAGAGACACCACGGTCAACACTCCTCCTCTCATAACCGCCACCGCTCGCCCTACCGCTCTCCTTACCGCTCACGCCACCGTTCGCCTCACCGCTCGCCTCACCGCCACAGGTCCCCCCATCGCTCTCGGTACCACTCCCCCACCAGACGTCACGCCCACTCATCAGACCCCTACCGCCGGTACACCTCCCCAGAGAGACAGACCCGCAGCATGGAGAAGCCCAACGGGGATGAGGCCGTATTGAAGGAGCCACCCAAGACTCCTGAACTCAGCCTCCCTTCTGAGGACAGCATCCTCCGTGAGCCCCCAGCCCTGGACCGCCTGAACAGGGAGGCCACATTTTCAACGCTGCACAGGGAGGAGCGCCTGCATGGGGAGGACAGTCTGCTGATGAAAGCCTACACCATGGAGACAGCCTACAGGGGGAACGGCCTGCTGAGTGACCTGGCATCCCGCAACCAGAGAGACGCCTACAGAGACATCACCTTGCCCAGAGTGCGCACCCCTGACTCCGATTCAGCCTATAAGAAGTACAGCTCGTTGTTGAGGGGGCGCTCACCTGAGAGGACGGTGAGGGATGGGCGCTACGCCAGTCGAGGTAGTACCCCCGAGCCACAGTACCGTACACGCAGCCTTGGACGAGATATTTCCCCAGTCAGGAGCTCCAGAAGGGATGACTCGGAGGACGAAGAGGACGATGACTATTTGGTAGAGGCTAAGGTGAGAGAGTACTTCAGGGCGCTCAAGACCGACACCAGTCGCTCATCCAAGCCAACGCTCCCTGAGCCCAAGAAGACCTACAAGGATAACCCCAAAGACCTGAGCATCTGACTGGACGGCTGACAGCCAATCACAGCCTCTATCCACAAAACACCTCAAGTACTCACTCCCATTACCACTTGGTTCTACAGAAATGCACCCAGTTAGATACACAGAGATACACACACTAGACATAAAACATACACGCATACACACACACTTAACAATGTTGAGTTACTAACAAACATTGATTCCAAAACGACTTTTAAGTGTTTGTTTTTTTTTGTTTGTTTTTTATTGTATGTTTCTTTTTTTCTTCTTCTTGTTTTTGGTTAAGCATTCTACATTTACAGTAACTCAGACTTTTCCAGAAAATGTAAAACCATAAAAAACAATGATGTGCCTAACAGTTCCATTAATGAGCGACATTTTGTTTTTGATTTGATATGTGACTGGCATTTTGTGCCGCACTGTCAGATGATGAAATGTATGTACTTTTCCACGAGGATCCCATGGAAGTACCGAGCACCTGGATCACCGGTGCTCACGATGATGCTGTGCATGTCTTTACCGGATTCAATGTTTCTCTCTCTCTCTCTCTCTCTCTCTCTCTCTCTCTCTCTCTCTCTCTCTCTCTCTCTCTCTCTCTCTCTCTCTCTCTCTCTCTCTCTCTCTCTCTCTCTCTCTCTCTGCCTTTATTCTCTTGCTCGCTCTCTTTCTTTCTCTCTCTCTTTCTCTCCCCCAGTGCCACTGTTTTTTAGACATTTGACCAGACTATAGCACAAGCCTGCATTTGTTTGTATATTTTTGACAGTTTGCAGTATGTGTACATTCAGAGGTGATCATTTTAAATGAATGAAGGGAAAATTAAAAGTTAAACTATGATGATGCTGATGATGATGATGTTCAAATAAAATAATATATTCAACAAATGAACAAGAATGTGGTTGTTACGGTTCAGTTTCTTTGGTTATTACAGACGTTGGAATCGTTTTGAGTCATTGAAGTTCCTGGTTTAACAATAGAAAGATGTAGTGTAAGTGTCATAGTGAGGCAGATATTGGGTGGCAGGTAGAAATTGTATCGTAGGACTCTGTAGAGTACAGAGCTCTCATTATTTGGGCAAACCAAAGACAAAAGAGTGAGGAGGCTGACATTGTTATCCCAGGCCTCCCAAAAGTGTGTGTGTGTGTGTGTGTGGAAATGAAGTCTTTGAAGAAAAGTAAAGCAAAGAGCTTCCATCCTTTCACAACTTCAAAGCCTGGATAGAACAGTCTTAAAAAATGTTCCTCCACTCCTCCTCTCACTACTTACTTTGTGCCGTTTCTGTGCCCTATTTCTCCTGTTGTCCTCAGCACCTTCCCTTCCTCCTCTGCCTGTATCTGTCAAAAGATTTGTTGGTCGGGGGGAGGGGGAGGATAACTGTAAAGATTTTCTGAGCTTACATCATGAAGTTTCTTCCAGTTACTGTAGCACATGCTAAGTTACTTAATACCATATGTTCAAAAGTGCATTCAAGATTACCCTGTAGACACAATCTGCAGCTCATAAGACGAAATGGGAAGCAGAGATGAAGCGTCATGATCAAACGTGTCAGAGCTTTTTTTGGCCCAGTTTCTCTGCAATTCAACAGGGCCTCAATGCATTTTACTCCTTTTGATCCAATGATCTGAAAGTGTTTTTACATGACTACTTTAATGGATCTTGCTGCATGCGCTAGTATGTAACACATGCGTTCTCACACATGCCTCATTTAGATTATTGATTACAAATTAAATTAATACCCATAATTATATATATTTTAATTTTATAGTATTTAACGAAGTCCATTTTTTACTCATGTGAGAAAGGGGTCTTTTTCAGGACAAAGAGACATAGAGGAGATGTTTGTATCCTGCAAACACTTTTCTGTTCTCGCTCCTCTCTCACAGTGAAGGGGGAAGCAGCTCCTAAATAATGGATGCAATCCACTTTCCAGCAGCGAAACACTCTCCTCCCCTCTCTTTAAATCTCTCTCTCCCTCTTTATCAGGACATACTCCACTCCTTCCCATCATCAAATGCAAGAACAGAGCTCCATGTTTTATTGCTTGTGTGACCCCAGAAATGATTAACAACCCGTGTCTGGTGACAATTTATCATGTCAGTGCCAGGCAGGAGGAAGGGACGGTAATGAAATAACATGACTACAGCCCAGCGCGGCAACAGCCCGCCGGGTCATACCTCCATTCTACCATCAGCTTGGCTCCAGGTGCTCTTGCTCAGACCTTGGAGACCCTCTGCCCCCCGTTGCCATGGAAACACCGATTCAACAGGCTCTTTCCTCAAACTGACTGGAGCAGACAAGAGTTGTAGTCACGTAAACAAGGCTGAGGGAGGAAAGTAAATGAAAAGAAAACAAGTGCAGGGTTATTTTTAGATTTCAAGAAGCGTTCACTAAAGAGAGGGAGAAAGCGTCTAAATGTTGGAGTTACTTTTCTCACAGGAAGCTCAGCATCCTTTATAACAAGGCTGTTGTAGTTCCCACTGCTGGGCATCCATGCTGCTGTCATTCTTTGTCCTAATGCTGTTTCTGTCTCATGCTCGGCAGTGCATGGAAATCGGCCTTCTCAGGGAGAGAGGGGTGTGGTGGAGGAATGTGTTGTGGCTGTTCAAAGGGCATTTCATGCAGTGTGTGTTTTTCTTATCATGGTTACAGAAACAGCACTCAGTAGGATATGGTGCATGTACATGGCGCTTGAGGCTATTGTGGTGGATGGTTTTATTAAGAAGAAAAATGGCTGCAACCTCTTGCAGTTGTCACACTAATCCATCAGCACCTGTTCCAGAAATCCAAATACACTGTGTCTCATAAGATTAAAGTCAGTCATTTTTAATTAAATTGTGCCTTTTCTTGCTTTAGTTGGAGCCATCCAAATCTTTTATTTAATCCCAATGTAAACTTGATAGAATATCTTTGGCATACCTTTCAAAATCCACAAATAACTGATTGTTTAATTTCCCCTAACAGCTTGTCGTATTGTGCTTGATTCAAATCTCCACAGTTTAAACAAATAAGAGACATTTTACCTAATACTCTCATCAGAGCATTTTTTTTATCATTCGATTCACACCTCTGTCCACCATCTTTGGTTCAGACTGAAATGTCTCAACTACTGGATGGATTACCAAGTAATTGTGACATCCAGCCTACTGACTTTGGTGATCCCCTCATTTATTTCTACCATAAGGTTGTCATTATTGTTATGAGTGAAATATATTAACAGCTATTGGGAAAAGATTAGGCTACTCTGATGATGAATTTTATTTATGCTTTTGTGCTGCCAGTGGCTTCATATTTTTTGCTTCAAATGCAGTTATCTCACTACTGGATGGCTTGCAATGACATTTGGTACAACCATTCATGTTCCTCTAAAAATGAGTCATAATAATTCAACTCATGACATTCCCATCAGCCTCAGCTGTAGGCCAACTTTGTATTAGTGCTAATTAGAAACCAGCTACAACACCTGGCCAGCACCAAACAGCAGACAGACAGATTTAGCATCTAGCAGGTGTACACAGAAAAGCATTTTGCTAAAAGACACATATATATACCCCGTGGAGGCCAAAAGAAGAGTGACTAATGAACATTCATCAAGTCGCCAGAAATACAACTTCAAATTAATGGTAATGTTACTCATGTCCTTTTATATCAATGTTGCGCCTACAGCTTCTTGCCCTTTTTCACTGCATTTTGAATTGTCATAATGGGAAAACCACTGGTATTACTTTAAATGATGGCTCTGTCCTACTTAAACTCCCAAATAACCTATGAGAATGAGCCAGCATGCCCACCACAGGACCCTCAAACCAAGTGCTCTTCCCACTGTGACATGTAAAAATGTCAGTGAAAAGGGGCTGTTTAATACGGTAACTATAATCAGGTAGTGTACAGGTGTTGCTGCCATACAGATGCGACAATGCTTGGCAAGTGGTAAAATAAATCTGACTTTGTCCAATGGAAACACTTAGAGGAAAGTTGCATCCAGTAGAAGTGACTCATGACTTGATGGTGGTCTCGATCGAGGTTTTATGTCCCCACAATGACCGCTGTAGCCACTACTTTAGAGCTGTCAAGACACTGAACTTTTGCCTGCCTCATAGGTGTCGTTCCTCCTGGCTTCCCTCCTCTGGTGAAATGTGTGCATGTATTGCTGTCTAACGGGTAAAGAAGCAAATCCCCGACTTGTGCTGCGTGTGGTGTGCATATTCAAGTGTATTGCTTTTTTTTTCATGCATACAGTGCTCCTGATCAAAGGCAAATTACAGTACACCTCATGGTAAGAATAATGCAGTTTTAAGAGTGACTCATTCACTTTTAAGGGAAAAAATGGCACTCTGGAAGCTGCCTCAGACTGAGCCAATAAAATAGTTATACTGTCCTAAGAAATGCATGCGGAAATGTCGTCTTTGCCTGTTGCACTGTTGAATGATTCATTTCAAACTTTGTGTGCTGTCGTTCAGTCATGGTTATTTCAAAATGGAGATACTATCCAGACCTTGTGGTCAGTGTTTTTATTAAAATCTTCCTTTGGAATATGTTACAAATTGTAGACATTCAGTTTTTCTTACCCAAAAATAACAATGGGGAAAGTCATTGTTATATCCGTACTGAGTCTGCAAAAGAAGTGTGCTTTAATTTTTGTCACTCTCATAAATGAAGGCATTGCTTTAAATATGAAGGCAGGTGTTTTGAGTCCGTTTGATGGAGGGCACACTGGAGGCTGGAGGACACAGATAATGCTTCCTCCACATCACAGCGAGGTCGTCACACAGTGGCGAAACTACTTCACGCAGGTGTAGATCCGAGGATTGTAGCGAGCTGAGCTCTTTCGCAGAGAGGCAAAGCAGTGTCAGAAACAGCTGGTACCTTGCAACATTGGCATATGGCACCCAGTGAAAAAGGAAGTCCACAACCATGATAACCTCCATGTGTGTGTGACTACACGCTTGGCCCTCTGGGTGGTCTCAGGAGACCCAAGAAAAAACAGCCTCAGACATTTCAGTAAATGCCCCAAAACCACAAATGTTTACATTCAAGTGGCAAAGCCCTCTTGCAACTGTAGTAAGTATGACTCCTGTCCATTAGGTGCAAAGTAAAGTCTGCATAAGGAAGAGGTCAGGGCGCATGGAGGGGTTCGACAAAGTGGGACTTTGACTTCCCGTTTTCTACCAACAGTCAACGTGGCTTTCTTTTAATCATGGCCCCTATAATTCCCTAACCATAATCAAGTGGTTACTATTGCAACCATGACGACGAAGGTCCCCTAACCTTAAAGGTGCAATGTGTAAGAAAAAAACAATTTTAGTTTTAAACATTAAAAAAATCAACAGAATGTGAACAGTTCTGACATCATGTCATAGACGTCTATGTATTGTGTTGCAGAGATATCTACTGAAGTTAGTATGCTAACCAGCTAGCCACGGCCCATCTTGTCTTGTAATACCACTTGTTTCCCGAGAGGCGATAGTGAGTCACTGTTTGATTTGTAATGGTTTTAAAAGGCATTCAATTCAATTATGGTGTCCTGCTAATCAGAAAATGCATATGTGCTGTTCGGGAGCGCATGGACAAACAATGTATTTTGTCGTTTAATTTGGAGGACTTGTTGGGCGTTGGACTCCTGTTGGCCGGTTGCTCCCTCT